AATGATAAAGAAATCTCTTGAAATATTATCTTTCTTAATAAAAAAAAAGAGACTTATTTTCATAAATAAATATATTCAGCTGAATCCTATTTATTAGATAAATCATCATTAAATGTTTTTTTTTATAATCTATTATACACTATTGAAATTCAATGAGAAATCTTAACATATAATTATTTACAATTTAAACAAATATTTACAATCGAAACAAGTTGAGTAAAATACATTATCAATCGAGTGACTCAAACAGATATTTACAAATAAAGATAAATGTTACATGTTCAATATTTGAGAAAATGTACTTTTACCAAGTTAAATTGAAAAAATAAATCTCTTTTGTTATGTGACGTACATAGATAAATTAATAGATTCTTTTTTTATTCGTTTGAGAATACTCTTAACAGTATATATCCTTATTAAATATATGCCGAACTATAGTTTTTTCAGTTATACTTATGTTAAATTGTTTTCTAATGGTTTCACTAATAGTCCTGCTCTTGATTTCGATCATATTAATTTTTAGGGTAGCAAATCTGATCTTGATCCCAAAAAAGAAAAAACTATTTCAAAATTTATTTGCTTAAAATCTAAACTAATATGTAAATAGTCGATTTTTTTATTTATTCAATCGATAAATCTCTCTTTTATTGTCGATCTTTCTCTTCAATTTGTCTTTTGATTAGTATCATTTAGAAGATAATTCAGTCGAAATATCGAATGTTTTCTTAGGACATACCAAAACTATTTAGACTTATATTATATCAATGTACAGGAAGATTGGAGAAAAAATTTCATCCGTATTTATATATTTATGTAGTAGAAAGAGTGGTCTGCATGTTCGTATAATAGTCAAATCAGCTACGTAATATAATCATATGAAATATTTTAATGAAAACTATAGATCATTAGTTACAGATGAATAAGAAAAACTTTCGTTTTTAGATAAAGGTGTCTACTACAGTTAGCATTCAATCGAAATAAATTCATTATGATTTATATTCTGTTTTTGCCGATTAACCTTCATTTTATAATACAGTTGACAAATGGTTAAAATCGTTTCGATAAGGGTAACAACATATTTGAAGATGAGGCACGATTTGGTAGATTTATAACGGAGACAACATCTAACAGTATTGAAGAAGTTCGCTGCCTTATTAACGATAATCCTCATTTTACAATTGATGATATACAAATGGAGAATGATATGAGTCATATTACCGTTCAACGAATTATTTCTGACTATGTCAAACTATTATATCCATTAAAAATATCAAAATTTGGGAAGTCATCCGTTAATAATATACCTATTGTTATTTAAGGCTCCATAAAAAAAGTCCTTTTTCGTCAGAACCATCAAAATTGAGATAAACTCATGGAGAAATAGCCCGTGGTGTGCTCTTTCATAAACGACAAAAACGTTTATTGAGCACCTCTCTTCGCTTAAAAAGTAAGAATTTTAGAAGAAGGATCACGAGAGGGACTGGATATTGATGTGCTTTTGAAGAACAAAGAAGAATTAAATGTCTAGAATGAAGACCCACAGAGAAAACTTGAAGATATAATCGAACTATTTTTGACTCTTGTTTGGTGATTATCTCTGTTAAACATCGTTCCACAAGGCTAAAAATTTTCCTATAGTCATCACTCACCAGTCTCAACATATCCTGAAAGTTTCGTGCTATTTGGATGTTCCTGGTCTGAGATCGATTTGTGAGGGGAGCCTTAAGCATTTATATGAACAAGGAATAATTTATGATTAGCTCTTAAAATTTAAATAAATAAATATTGTCGATTAGACTGAATCTAAATAGGATAAGTAGTATTCTACTGATTGATGAATCGAAAAAAAAAATAGGAAAACACGTTGAAAATTCTAGAAGAATATTGAATATAGATAATGTTGATTGTTACTTTATAAGATTTTTGATATGTATTTCATAAAATAAGATGAAAACTATAATCTCAAATAGTGATTATTTCATTCTGTTTTGATTCATCCAGTTAATAGCAAAATCGACTAATAAATGTTGCTTCATCAATCTACATTGTGCAAGTCCAACTTTTCCTATATTAGTATTTCCTTGAATAGAATCAAATGCATATCCAATTTGATTAAAATCTTCTGAATGATAATCATAATCATTCCATTGAAACCAATAAGGTTTATTTGTTTGAGAATTTATAACCGATGCACCATTTATAAAATTTTTCTCAATATTATTTCTTGTATAAAAACGATATTCTGCTAAATGTAATGATGTATTATTTTCATGTTCTACACCTAATAATAAAACATAACCATTATCATATAAATCATATAAACGAGCTAATGGAGATTGTTCACTACATGAATCATAATGCTTATCAATTATTAATTTTGCTTTACGACCAGAAGCAATCATAGAATGTTGAGGATGTTCGCTTCGTAAAACACCTGGCCATTTTCGAAATGTTTCAGCTAATTTTCCCATATAAAGTGTTGGTGTTATATCAGGTTGATAAGCTGGTGTCGATTGACGAATTATATCAAACCATTCAGATGGTACTGGAGGATATTGCCAATATTTTGGATCCGAATTATCACACGTATGAGATGGCATTATAAGAGTTCCATCTGGACCTAACAAATCTAGTAAGACTTGTGTAAGAGTAACAGGTCCACCACAAATCCATCCAATTTTCGATAATGAACAATGAACCAATAATGTCATTCCAGATGAAACGCCTAATTTTTCCAAGTCGTTTTTCAATCTTTCAGCTGTTAAACATGTTCCGAATTGTTCATGTGTTCTAGCAATTAATGCACGCTCTTTCTCACTCATTTTCTACAAGAAATAAAACAGATGAAAAATGTCCTCTTACTTCGACTATATTATATCATTTTCGTGCTCTCTTAACCAAGTTATTTTACACTAAAATAAAAACTTTCTCAATGAAATAAAATTTATTACCATACGAATTTGAGATAAATTTTCGAAGTTTTTATTTGTAAGTGATAATATAAGGAGAACAAATTGATGTTTCGTGAAGATTTAAAACAAAGAAGAACTTATCAAATTTTAACATTACTTTAACAAGGTTCAATATTCAGTACATATAAGATTTGTGTAGAATCTATGATATTAGATATGAATCACTATGCAATATTGGAATCAAAAATGACTAGACAATATCAAGATGTTAACATAAAACATGATGAACTTTGAGCATTGGTTTTTTTGGTAAAGAAAAGAATGCCGTCAAGAGTCCATATCCAACCTTAAGGGATTGAAAAGTATATTAGATTTCATTTATAAAAATCCAAATAAGAGTAGAAAATTTCAACGTATTATTTTATATGGACAAGAGAACCGAATTAATCTTAAGAAAAACAGATCTATGTAGATTCGTCTCAAAACTTTAAAATCAATGAACTTTTATCTTTTTACTTTCTAGATCATGTTAATGCATTACTATTAACATAGTTCGAGGATTTTATGGAAAAATCACTTGATTTCAACATACAGATCTTAAAAACTACAATGTCTCTAGATACAATATGACATAATGTACGAAAGAGACAGATGAAAATTTGGGTATCTTAGATTTCAAGACTATTCTCGAAAGATGATTTTTTTTTTCAATATGAATTTCAAAACATCGAACGATCACTAATCAATATCGAATTAGTGATTGAGATGATCAACTATATTTAACTATGTATGTTTCAAAAGCAAAATAAGAAAACACATTGAGCTATTTACTTCGAAGTCGTCTTGTATTTTTTCGTTCAAAACTTATCGAGAACAATGAAAAAAAAACGAATATACTTATGGATTAGAAGAAGTAGGAGGGATTTATTACGAGTTACTTTTGTTGATGTGCAAGTCACTCTTGTTTCTTATTGGTCATGGGCGTTATCATCCTAAAGAAAAGTGCATCTGCTCGTTTATCTCTTGCATTTGTGACGTGTAAAGGACAAAAGTAAAGTGCACAAAGAAAAAAAGTGACTCTCAGTGAGTGAATTGGTGACTGTTATTCATCCTTGGACTTATTGTTGTTTTTTCATATAAAAATTCTTTGACAATTCTATTTATTTTGTGCAAGTCATTGTTTCATGAGATATTAATTATTATCTTTAGGATATAGTAATAATCAATTTGAAATGTATCAACAAGTAAAACGAATAATTGAGTTGCTTTCGAAAACAATAGACAATTGACTTCTTATAAAAGTTTATTATGAGATTAATCATTACTGATTATGATAAACATCCTCTATCTACTCAATCAATAACGGATACTTCACTTTTTTATATCAGACTTGACGTTCATCTAACATTATATTTGATCTGTTGAGAAAACATCATTGTCTATCAACAATTTTCTGTGTATTTCTCATTGATGATTTTCCATTATTATCTTGACAAAACAAATGGTTATTCGAAAGTCTTCATTTTTGTCATGACTCGTCGTACTTCCTAGACAAATCGTATGAGTTGTGCATGGCTGAGATGTAGTTGGGTACGATCCAGTTACTCATCTTACTCAGAATCAATTGATAGATAAAGTATTGCTAAATGGTCCAAGTTCTAGAATTCTTAGACTTTTCTTATGATAGTGCATCCTGTTTTTTTTTGATGTGATTGCGTGGTTTTATTCGTTGGAAAGAAAATTTTATCTCAATATAAATAAAGGTTGAAATTTGATCAAAAAAAAAAGAAAATTAATCAAGTGAATGTATGCTTCTCTCTCTCTTATGTAATAAACGTAGGTTAACAGATCGATAGTTGAGTAAAATAGATATTATTAAAAAATATCACATATGAAATTAGTCTTTGTGAGACGTAGAAATAGAATTATCAATATGAATGAACAAGAAATAATTATTTATTTAATAAATGTGAAAAGTAAGAATAAATAATTAAGTTAACAAAGCAAAAATCAATGAAAATTGAGGATAAACAAGAGATAAATCATGTAATATAGTGCTTTTTATTTGATGATCTTTTTCTTTTTTTTGAATATATTCGTTTTCGTTTAATATTTATTTGTCAAATAGATTGATGATTTTTAAAGGACGATTATCTATTTGGTATTTATTATATATAAAAATGATAATTTATGAAAGAAAGATGTTTTATTTTGATTAGAATTTATTGTTCGTTTGTTAAATTGTTTTCATTTAACTTTGCAATAATATAAATCAGGTTAATTTGTTAATATTGGTAATTATCTTTTTCTAAAATAAAAATAATTGAATGTTTTCGGTTCATTGCAGTAATCTCACTCGAATGATTATTATTCTTATTCGATAATGTTCACTTGTTTGATGAAATACATTTTTTTCGTAAAGATCTTCCGATAGGAAAAAGTGCCGAAATGAATATTCTTCCATGACTAAATAATTCTATGTATTAAATTCGAAAAGGTTTCATCATTAGTTTTATTTAAGATTGTTTAATCAGAAAATCTTCCTTTTATTTACAATTTATTATCATGATTCAATGTAGTTTTCACAGTTTTTAATCTAAATTCAAAATATGATTGTTGGCTCTAATATGATGTAATGTATTTCGAAAAATTTCTTGTTAATATAAATAAAAATGGCCTAAAAAGAAAATATATTATTCGAGAATCTGACAAAGTGTAAGTGTGCATATGAAAGAAAAGAAAAAAAAATGACGAAGTTGCCATGGACAATTTGAGTGTTTTATTTGTATTGAAAGAATTGGTTGACCAGCGTCGCAATAAGAGGCCACAGAGTCAAATAAAGGTATTGTAATTACATTAGAAATAATTTGTCTTGTTTAATATATACTTTTTCATATTTTTTTTCTTCATAGGTTTTATTAATCAATTTTATCGAACAAGTTTGAACAATGGCGTAACACTTTGGTGGAGAATTTTCATTTATTTCGATTGTCGTAAATAATACATTCAATATTTCTCGATTGATTGTTTGAACAAATATACTATAATTCTATTAAATAAATATATTCACATATATTGATCATTTATTTTTTTTTGCTTTATTCTGCTTTTTTAAATAAGAAAATATATCTTGGCGAATTTCAAATATTGAAACGATTGAAATCATATCGAATATCAAAGATTGTTAATTAAGTTCGATAGTGATTATGAACTTTATCAAATTTTTAAAAAAGTATCAACATTTTTTAGGGTTTTGGAGAAAATTCTGGAAAAAGTGACAATTTTCACAAAATTTTACTAAATCTCGGTAGGTTTTTTTAAAATTTAATAGGAGTAACGAATAGAATGGATAAAATTGATTATAGTTAATACAAAAATTTGGTCGAATTTGAATAATTTTCATAGGAAAAATGTCGAATATTGATATGAGATGGTCAAGACTTGGTGTACACCGATATTAACTACATATGATGACTGTGATTGAATGATTTATTCGAATAGTAATAAATCTAATTCGAATAATAAATAATGAAAATGATATTTGAAATAAATTCTTATAGTGAAATAATCTTATTGTTTAACCTAGTCAATCTATTAAGTTCAGATTACTCTCCTAATAGTATGTCAGTCGAAACATTGTCTACTGAACTATCTTATTATATAATTCTAAATAAACTAGAAAGGTATCTGTATAGGTATTTTGTAAGTATCCATCTATTGAGACAATCGTCATGAGGATATTCAAGCATGATCCAGTGACATACTGTTAATAAGATAGCCGAATAGATGTGCACGTTGATGTGAATAGATTGACTAGGGTGATGTCAAAATTGGTAACTTTATAAATGGACATAAAAAAATCGGAGGATTATTAAATTAAAGTTGAATAAGAAAAATGTCTTTTATAATAAATTTTCTCGAATGAAAAAGAAAATATTACGAAAAGGATATTTATGTCAGAATAAATCAATAATTGAATAAGATGATTTAGTCAAGATCAATTTAGTTTAAATGTCAACATTTTTTCATGTTATTCTTGTTTTATTTGTCAACTGAGATTTTATATAAATAAATCGATTCTTATATATAATATATGAAAAGAATAATTTATTTCTATATTTTGTTTTTATTATCTTTATTATAAATATAATTAAAGAAATAAAATCAATTTTAAATTAATTTTATTTTTCCATGAATCAAATTCAAAATAAAAATCAATTGTAATCATTTATTTTAATATTAAATTATATGTCAATTCTAATTCAATTCAATTTCTCACATGAATATGCTCTTTTTTTTTCAATGTAAACACTTGTCAATGCGATACCATCAAGGAATCAAAATGTGCAATTCATACATTCTCATTCTTACAATTTTATACTATTTTCTCCAAGAGGTTAAAAAAATTTATTTGAAAAAATGAAAATGATAACAATTCGAATTGCTAATCTACCAATTGATTAGATTCATTTAACATCGTTATACTGAAAAAAAAACATCTTCATTGTATTGTCAGATAGATATTCAATAGATAACTTGTTTTCTTCTAATCATAATATATTAAGTAAGATAGGTAACATAACAAGCGGAAAATATCATATTATTCTTGTTTTTATTGATTCAGCCACGATATTATCCTCTTGTAGACATTCATTTTATCATTTCAGTAATCTTTTGAGCACACCATATTTTCTCTTGCCAAACGTTGACATATACTGTTGACTTTTTGCTTAAACTTCGAATTGAATTAGTTTATAAATTTCTATGTCCGTCCTATTCTCATTCTGATAGATTAAGTCTAGAAAGTTTCACAATGATCTAATCAGATTTATTACTGACATTCGTTTTATTATTGCTATGAAACTGTATTCAATAATCTTTGGATTCTCCTCTCCAGTCGTCCTGACTTA